GATCAGGAGTTTCGAGCAGTGACACTTTATATTCTTCTTAATTACAATGAAGTACAACCCTTTATTGAGTAAGACAATTTTTTTATTATAATTTTTAACTCATTTATCTGAAAGGTGTTGATGGGTTGAAAGAATGCTTAAATTTCCTTAAGTTTTACAAATTTTTATGGATGCAATTGCATTTTAAAGAAATATATTTTCATATTTTTCTTATAGGTTTGACAGGTGTTGGAAGGAGCAATGTGGAGGAGACTTGGAACAAATGAGGGTTGATCCCACGAACACAATTTGTGCTTGCTTAGTGTGCAATTAATTCAATTTTAATTAACAAAAAAATTTTATTTTTCTCTATAATTTAATTTTACACACTAGGGATACTACGCAAGTGCAAGTATCGTTTCAAGTAATATAAAAATTTATTTTAATCCCCAAGTATCGATCACCACAGGAAAGATAAAACTCTTTTTATCGATTTAATAAACTCTATTTAAAATTCAGGTAAATTATCTAGGAATTAAGGTTGAAATTGTAAGTGTAAAAAGATTAACTAATACCTACAAATTCTATTTCTAAACTTAAGGAAAAGACTAAATTTTTCTAAACTGGTTTTATGTTGAAAAGTTCAATTTGTATGAAAAAACCTTTACCTTGCAAAGAGATTATACTCAGTGTAGGAATCAAATGTTGATAAATTTCAATGTAACTTTGTGACAAATAGGAGCATATATATTATTTACCCTCTTCCGAGTGCATAAAGAACATTGGCTAACCTACAGTTAAGTTCTTAAATTCTTAGTTATGCTGGGTAGATTCTAGCCTGTCTCTCTAGAGTACCTACGTAAGCCCTCAGTTTCGCTAACCAAGCTTTAGGTTTCAAACACTTGATTAAATTGGTTATGTAACTAACCTGTCACCCTAAAATTACCCATTTACACCCATCAAAAGTTATCTCCCAATTTATTTACACTGCCCTATGGACTACTTTTCCTTCACCTAATAGTGAAATGTGATTTTTACTAATTGAAGAATTAATAGTCCTCCTGGGTCATTATGATTCACAACAAATTTTAACTTATCAATTGGTCGGGTTGAATAAGTAAATTAAATGTGAAGTAATGAATCATCACAGTTATGAAATAAAAGAAATGATATAAAAAAGCCTAATCCTACACATGATTACTTTTCATCACAAGGAGAAAGATAAAAAAAAAACTATTCGGATTTCATGGGGACAAAACAACAACGCATGACACACACACACACACACACACACACACACACACACACACACATACACACACACACACAATAAACTTTAACACAATTCAACAAAAATGCAACACACTTATCTCAAACTCCTCCCCAAACAAATTTTTTAAAGTTCCTTTGAAGAATTCTCCTTACATTTAATCTTAAATATCACTCAGAAATGCAAAAAATAAAAGAAATCTTTCGCTTCTCCTACTCTCGTGCACTCAAAAGTGTTGGAAATATTAACCCCTCTACACTTTTCTCTTTCTCCCTTTTTCTTTCTCTTCCTTTCCTCCATTCCTTTTAAGCACCAAGAGACTCTTCTTTTTGTAGCCTTTGAAATCCCTAAGTGTCACCTCAGATGCCCCTTCAAAATTCATCCAAATATATTGAATTTATAAAAAAAAACTGATTCTGGCACCTAGGTGCCAACCTTCTAGAACCTAAAATAACTGCCTAACGCTTAGGCACTAGATCCCGACCTCATAATGTCGGGCTCTCTGTATCCGCGTACATCCCCATTTTGCTCTATTTTGGCACATTTTCTCCAAAACTCCATCTCTTATCTAGTAATTAAGTTTGGAATTTTGATTTTCTATTCATTTCAATTATAATTGTATTTTATCAGACTTAGGAATCCAAGAATAATTAAAAGAGAATTATATGAGAACTATATTAGTAAAATTTTGACTCATTCGAGAATATCATCAAGCTCATAATGAAAATTTTAGTCAGTGATATCGAAAAAATGTCTCTAAAAAATTTTTTCTTGAAATATGTGAAGTATATTTCGACAACATGCTTAGAAGAAATAAGCAAGGAAAATATATAATATCTCTCTTGGTTCTGTTAGCATTATACTAATCAAGCTCAACTTTCTATGATTAGTAAAAAAGACAAAATGAATATGGAGAGGTAGTTGAATCTCCATATCCTTCTTTGAAAGCTAGCATTAATAATGATTAATCTGAAAGCCTTGAACTCACAGCCTTCAGAAATATCAATACTAATACACGAAAGCAACATAATTTATTATTAAATTAAAATAATTAAATTATACTAATAATGCCTGACAAACATTTGTTGAACATTTGTTTTATATTAAAAATAAATTAGAGCAACTTTTGAAAAAAATCAGAGAAGCCTGAAAAGCCAGTTTTATGACAAAAGAATAACCTTAGAAAAAAGAAAATCTAATATTCCTGTAATCAGGTACTCTAAAATTCAACCTCAACCTAAACTTGATCTCAATATAGGACCAAGTAAAAAAAATTTACAAAACTTTCTTTCTAAATGAAAAGAATGATCTCTAACAATTATAGAAAAAAAATTCAAAAAATTCATATACTTAAGATGAATGCTCTGATGAACAGGCTGATCTTGAATTAGTTGAACTTTTTCAAAACCTGCAAACTAATAATTTCATGGAAATTAAAAAAAATTAATTATCCAAAACTACCTCTTAAAAAACATTATTATATCATTTCTCTTATGGATGTCAATTTTGGTGAAACTTCTAATGGACACCAAATGACTTATGATGTCATTGGTCTATGTGCTTGGAACATATATGACATTAGTGATCATCAAATCCATGAAGAAAGTTACTAACTGATGTTGTACTCTAGCTTGACACAAGCCACACAATATGCCTCTCACTTGATAGTTGGGACTAATGTATAGAATAAATAAGCTAGCCGAAGCAAATAAAAATTGTTATTAAAAACAAGAAATTTATTAAACTTTAAAACTCACACTGCTTAAGCTTTTTACAAACTCGATCAAGAAGAAAAAAGAGCGCACACAAAAAAAATTAAAATTAAAACTAAGCCCTTAGAAGAGATATGGATGAACCCTATATATAAAAGAGGACCCACATTTTGAACATAAATATACTTTACAATATTATTAGTTACATACATAATATATATATATATATATATATATCAATCTGTC